ATAAGTGTTAATAGAATAAAAGAGTATAGAAATAGAAGAATAGAAGATGAGATTAAAATTATAGGGTATGAGAAGAAATAAAAGAATGGTAAAGTATGAGAAGGAGAGAAGAGAGTAGTAGAGATTATGAAGACATGAGAATAGAATGATGTATAACTCACCAGACGTGTGGTCTGATGTATATTTTCATGTGTTGCAAGTTCAGGTTGTAGTCGTTGTACGAGAGGAGATAAAAGCACCAAGGACTTAGACTAGAAGTAGATTTTATTTTTGATATTTCCTTGTTACTTTAAATTGTGGTTATGATTTATTATAAACTCGATAATATCCTGGGATGAAAATTAATTTTGAGATTTAGAATTCCTCACGTTTTGTAGAAAAACTATGATAAATCACCAGAATATTTATTGAGAAAAGTTGGGTGGTTACATCAAAACACATGATCAAGGCAGCAGAAACAAAACACAAACCTATGTTTACATGCACCATAGGATCTAGGTTTTCTAGTTAAAGCAACCTACTTTCAAAACTAACCAAAAAATGGAATACTAACCTTTTTGTTGCTTTGATTGCGATCTCGTAATTGGTAGCTCTAGCGACACATGAAGGACCCAAAGTAGAATCCTATGAATGTAGTCAGACCCACAACTACAAGAAGCTAATAAGGATTGATCCTAGATTAGGGTTTTGTGAAAAGTAAATAACCTTATGAGATGAGTTATAATTTTGGCAAAGAGGAGAGAGGGAGAGAGTATGACCAGCTTTGAGAAGGAATCAGTTGTCAGGGTTTGATCCCTACTTGTATATTTATAGGCATCAGATAAATCTTTAAGTGATTCAATCTCTTAGGATAATCCTTACTTTATTCAAAAATATGCCTTATCCCTATCCAAGGGATAAGTAGAACTGTCTCGTGCAACTCTCTAGGAGCTTCTAGAATATTCCAATTAATCTTTACGAACTAATTAATATTCAAGCCCTTTACATAATTGAAACTTGTAATTAATTACAAAATAATTTTGAACTAATTTATTAATTACTTGATAAATTAATAATTTATTTTTCTCTATCTTCTTATAACTACTTGTGTTATGAGGCCAACCCAAAATGATCTGATATTATTAGAAATATTACCAAACAGTTAATGACATCAGATACTATTTCTAACAATATGCACTGAAATCACAATAATATTGCAATTAAACTGGAAATCTTAGTTAGAAGAGAAAGGAAAAGAGAAATGAGGGAGGAGGATCACAAATTGTCGCCATTGATGATCGATTTCGTCGCATGTATAGTCGAATCCGTCGTCAGTGGTGGTTCCTGGTGGCGTGGTGGTAGAATCGACGAGGATTGAGCTTCAATCAATGATTCGTCGTTCGAAATCGTTGGAGCGAAGGAAGGGTTAAAGATAGTCGCATAAAATGGAAATGATACAGGAAAGGCCTGATATAGACGATGAGTTTTAGCGACGGCAGGAAATAGCGACAATAGAAGGAATTATTGGTGACTCTTTGTCGTAAATGGAGAGAATATGTTCGCGGTCAATTTTTTAGGGTATTAGCGGCGACAAAATCGCCGCTATTGGTGTCGCCGCTAATACCCACGTATGAGGATTAAAAACCAAACGTTGGATAGATGTAAGTAATCAATGGATGGGGTGAACCTTGGAACCATCATACAGATCACGAATCATGGTTTTACTACCATTAGCGGGGATATTAAAACGCGAAATTCATATATCGTCATTATCACCGCTAATGGTGGTATTTCTTGTAGTGTATATTAGGAACTTCTCTTTTGGTGAAGAAGATGATGACAACACCAAGATTTGATTATGACCACAACAAGATTCTTGATTGGGCTAAGATTTTTTTAATTTTGAACTTCTATTTTGATTTCTTGAAATGTTTGAAACCCGAACAGTTGAATTGGTTATGCTCGTTTTTTAGATTTTCGAACTGGGCTCTTTCTTCAGATTTTCGAATTGGGCACCAAAAGTATATTTATACCAAACATTCGATTAAAGACGACACTCCCAACTTACAAAATTAAGGAAAACAATTTCTTTGTATGGTTGAATTTTATGTTCATTTTATAAATAGTATAATTGGGATTATTTGTTCAATTTAGTGCTTGAAATTAATAGCCTTTTCTCCTTTTGTGAAAAAAAAAATGCAACAAAAATACTCACACATACCTAATCTAAGATTAAAATGATAATTAAATACTTTTAAAATCGTATATTAGTTTTTGCTTGTAAAATTGGCTTAGCAAAACTACAAACAAGTTCATAGTAGAATACAATTTCACATTTTTAGAAAGTGATATATAGAAGTTCACAGATAGTAGCTTCTCGTCCATCCACACCTTTTTTTAAAAGTGATGTATATATAAACCATTCTAATTTAAAAACCCTACTCACTTGTAGCATTGCAATTAAGAAATAGCAATGTAGACTCATTTATTTGTGTTATATAACATATTACTTTCAATTCTCTCTATCATATGTGTCCAATTACTCGAAAAAACTTCCGCCGGAAAAGTCATGCAAACACAGCGACGGAATATTCTTTCGCTAATCCAAAAATACAAGTTGATGAAACGTTATTATGATATAACTTTTAAAGAAAAAAAATGCAAACACGCTACTGTTATCGACATCTTGCGAGAACCACGTCTACTCGATAAATTCCACCTCAGCATTAATAAATTTCAAATCTGTATCTTTATTCCCTTAAATTTTTCCTATAAATATCGTAGTCAGCTTTTTTATCCAAATCACATCCACCTCAGCATCAATAAAATTTCATATGAAGGCTTCTCTTTCTGATCTTGAAAACCCAATCACCTCCTCCGCCCTTCCTTACTCCTACGCCCCATTGCCTGACGGTGATCAACCAGCCGGAAATGACCCCACCATCCGCCCATACATAAAGACAGCTCTCTTTCTGTTGTCTGTGTTCTTAGCCGTTAGCTTTTTAGGGTTCCTGTTCGCCGGAGACGGGCCTGTACTTAACAAAAACTTGAACAGCAAGGCCGTGCCTTTCACGTCGGTGTTGCTGGAAAAGGTAACGCCGTTGTCACGTGGGGTGGAGAAAGGTGTATCGGAGAAAGCTTTTCATCCATTGTTGGGCGCAGATAATTCGTATCCATGGAGCAACAACATGTTGGATTGGCAAAGAACTGCCTTTCACTTCCAACCCAAGAAAAACTGGATGAACGGTAAATTATTTTTTTCTTAATTACATACATAAACAAAATGTCTTAATTTCAGAGTTTAATAAAACATCACGAATGTGGTTAGCAATGATTTATGGTAATTTGTTTAGTAACTAATAACTACTTCTTTTGTTTTCTTTGGCATTAATATTGTTCCTGATGGGGATTCTGATTCTCTCTGCAGATCCTAATGGTAAGTCCAACCATTGTATATTTATGCATTAACTTAACTTCTCCTTCATCTTTATTTTTCTATAACTTAAAGTGAATTATATATTTGTTTTCTGGTAGCAATCTTTTGACAATTTTATCTCAAAAATATACTTTCAGCTCCGGTTTTTTACAATGGATGGTACCATCTGTTCTATCAATACCACCCCGAAGCTCCGGTGTGGGGCAAAATCGTTTGGGGCCACGCCGTTTCCAAGGACCTCATCAACTGGCGCCACCTCCCCATCGCCATGGAAACCGATCAGTGGTATGACGAAGAGGGTGTCTGGACTGGTTCCGCCACCATCCTTTCCGATGGTCAACTTGTCGTACTTTACACCGGATCCACCAACGAATCCCTCCAGGTCCAGAACCTAGCGTATCCGGCCGACCCATCTGACCCGCTCTTAATCAATTGGGTCAAATACCCAGGAAACCCGGTTCTCTTCCCACCACCCGGTATCGATAATGATGATTTCCGTGACCCGACAACCGCATGGAAGACTCCAGACGGAAAATGGCGATTCACAATCGGTTCTAAAATCAACAAAACCGGTATTTCGTTGGTTTACGACACGGAGGACTTCAAAACCTTTGAGATTTTAGACGAGTTGCTCCATGCTGTTCCGGGTACGGGTATGTGGGAATGCGTTGACTTTTACCCGATATCAATGCTAGGCGAAAATGGTCTTGACACGTCAGTAGATGGGACTGGGGTGAAACATGTTGTCAAAGCCAGCATGGATGCTGACCGAAATGACTATTATGCCATCGGTACTTATGATGCGTACAAAGGAAAATGGACCCCGGATAGTCCTACATTAGATGTCGGCATTGGGTTGAGATACGATTATGGAATATATTACGCCTCCAAAACATTCTTCGACCAAAACAAACAAAGAAGAGTTTTGTGGAGTTGGATTAAAGAGACAGACACCGAAGCCTCCGACATTAGGAAGGGTTGGGCCTCTCTCATGGTTCGTTTTCCTAACAATTAAATGTTACAACTTACAAATGGTAAAAACTTTTAAATTTTTTTTATTATATTCTCTCCTTACAGGGGGTTCCTAGAACAATTGTGTTTGATAAGAAAACTCTAAACAATATAATCCAATGGCCAGTTGAAGAGATCAACCGATTACGAACAAATCTAACAGCTTTCAAGGATGTCGTGGTAGAAGCCGGCTCACTCATCCCTCTTAACTTGCCTTCAGCATCTCAGGTAATTAATATGTTTTTTTTTTTTGTGTGTATGAGCGTTGAACATTTATAAAAATATAGTAGCTAATATGGCACACTAACACTACTATTGGGTTATTTATTGACTAAAAGGCTTTGTATTGAACTTTACACAGCTAGACATCGTGGCTGAATTTATAGTGGATAAGAAGACAATGGAGGTACTGAACGGAGCTGATACTTCATATGATTGTGCCAAAAGCGGTGGAGCCACACAACGTGGTGCATTGGGACCATTCGGTTTTTCAGTCCTTGCAAACGAAGGTCTAGCTGAACACACCCCTGTGTATTTCTATATTGTAAAAGGAGTTGATGGGAATCTTAAAACGTTCTTTTGTGCTGATCAATCGAGGTCATCAAATGCTAATGATGTCGATAAGTCAATTTATGGGAGCATTGTCCCAGTTCTCAAAGGTGAAAAGTTGTCAATGAGAATATTGGTGGATCATTCGATAGTTGAAAGTTTTGCTCAAGAGGGACGGACATGTATTACTTCGCGTGTTTATCCAACAAAGGCGATCAACAACAATGCTCAATTATTCTTGTTTAACAACGCTACCGCCACTAAAGTTACTGTTTCAGTCAACGTATGGCAAATGAATTCTGCGTTTGTTTAGTTAGATGTTAAATCTATTTATTTGTTCTATAATCTATACTTGTTTAAAGTCCTTCAAGAGTGGGAAAACAAATCCCTCAATTCCTTTTGTTTGTGATGATAATTTCGGTATCTTGTTTTTATATGAGAAAAACAAAAAAAGAAATAAAAAACCCATAGAAAAGAGTCTTGTTGTAAACTATACTGTGTAAATAATTTTTTTAAATTTTAGGTTATTTTTCTATACTTGTACCTTATTTCAGTAGCAACAATTTAAATGTATTATGGATGTGGTTTGACTTTTAGAAAAAGTAGTTATGTGATATTCTCTCTGGCGATTATATATATTTCAAAATGTTAGTTTTTAAATTATGACATTTCAAAATATTGTTAGTTTTATGTGTTTTACCCCCATGTAATTATATATATCAAAATGTTAATTACATAATTCATTCAAAAATACTCCTTTCTCCCGATTTATGCACCAATAATTTTTTTCTCAATTTATGCAACCAATATTTTTTTAATCACTTTTAATTAAATCTAAAATTAGAAGTTTTACATAGACGTAGTGGATAAATGTTAGCTAGTATCACAACTTAGCTAATGTGACAGTTAATCATTTGTAACTACCAAGGGTAGTTTCGTCATTTTCTATTTTCTAGTTGTTACAAGTTAGTTAGAAGCTTTTGATGTATAATTTTATTTTCTGTACATATATGTAATAGTCGAGTTCTTGTTGAGTTAGTTAATGAGAAGAAGATCTCTTCCAGTCATTCATTTTCTCTCTCTCAAACCGATCTTATGTCAACATGAACATGGTATCAGATTTGATCCTTTTCTTCCGCATCTTTATCAAATTTCAATTCGTTTGATTCAATTGACCGAATCATTCTTTGTTATTTCTTCATTTCATCATGTCGTCATCTGAAAATTTTCCCAATTCAACTAATTTTGTTGATCTTTCCAATCCATATCATCTTGGATCTTCAGATAATCCAAGCTCTGTTTTAGTTTCAAACGTTTTTTCTGGTGTTGGCTTCTCAGCATGGAAACGATCTATGATCATTGCTTTATCATCCAAGAATAAGCTTGGATTTCTTGATGGTTCCATTTCTCAGTCATCTTCTACATCTTTTACATATGCCAATTGGTATCGAGTTAATTCCATGGTTACAAGTTGGATTCTCACTTCTCTACATCGCAATATTGCTGAAAGCGTTTTGTTTCTTCAATCTGCTCACGAAATTTGGAAAGAATTAACTCAACGATATGAACAATCTGATGGTGCTCTCATTTATCAGATTCAACAACAACTCTACTCCTTATCTCAATGATCAGATGATTTCTCAACCTATTTCACTAAGCTCACGTAGATTTGGGATGAAGTTCGTATAGTTCAAGGAATTCTGGAATGCACCTATGCTGCTTTTGCAGGTATTCTCAAATATTTGGATGATAACGACTATATCAACTATTAATGGGGTTAAATGATAGCTATAAAGTGCTTCGAGGTCAGATCTTGATGATGAAGCCCCTACCTACTGTTTCAACTGTCTACTTAATGATAATCCAGGAGGAACGCCAAAGAGATATTAATCTGCCATCTGCTATTAGTGTTGATGCCATTGTAATGAATGTCTCAAATAGTCAATCATCTATTTTTTCAAAGAAATCCCTTGTTTGTGCTCACTGCAAGAAAAATGGCCATTCCAAATCTAAGTGCTATCGCTTAAATGGCTTTCCATCAAACTTCAAGTTTACAAAGTCCAAAAAGGAGGAGCCAAAGTCATCTGTTCAACTTGCAACCACTGAATCTGTTTCTTGTCTTTCTCAAGAACAATATCAACAACTCATTCAATTGCTCCATCAAGAAAATGTTCAACCATCTGTTTCTTGTTTTGTCAACTCATCAGTGATAGAAGGAGCCATGAATTCTAATGGTAAACCCTTTTCTTTTGCACATTTTTCTTCTAATGTGTATAAATCATCTGCATACCTTCAGCCACATTTATCTTTCATCATTGACACTGGAGCCACAGATCATATGTGCTCTAACAGTGATCTTTTCTTGTCCATGTCTAAATTTCCACAGTCTCATTCAATTGGGCTGCATAATGGTCATCATCTCTCCATTTCTCATTATGATGATATACAAATTCATGACTCTATTGTTTTGCAGAATGTCTTGTTCGTTCCATCATTTTAGTATAATCTTGTTTCTGTTACAAAACTCACTTCCCAACTATAAACTTTTGTTTTGTTTACTGATGAGAATTATCTCATGCAAGACCCCTCATCGAAGAGTAGCATAGCTCTTGGAATTTTGGGGAAAAGAATCAATGATCTATATGTCTTTGATTTTCATCATCTTAAGCAAAATCTTTCTTATTGTTTTTTTGTTTCTAGTTTATTTCCTAGAACATTTTCTCATGTATTCAGTTCTTGTTCCAATAATATGTTGTGGCATAACAGATTTAGTCATGTACCTTTGTTAAAACTCAAATCCTTATTTTCTCTTTCTTCACATGCCAATGATGCTTCTAATGAACATTGTTTGACTTGTGCTCAAGCTAAGAAATCTAGATTGCCTTTCCCACATAGTGTTTCTACTTCTAAAGTTCTATTTGACTTAAAACATGTGGATGTATGGGGACCTTATAAACATCACACACATGATGGTTATAAGTACTTTTTAACCATTGTTGATGACTTCACACGTCATACAGGGATTCATTTACTCAATCAAAAGAGTTATGCTTTTAGTTTGCTTCAAGCTTTCATTCAAATGATTAAAACCCAATTTCATGTTGTGGTTAAATGTGTTCGAACTGATAATGCAATGGAGCTTGGTTCCAATAATTTTGTACAACTATACTTTCAAGAACAAGGAATCTTACATCAAAAGTCTATTGCTTATACCTCAACAAAATGGATTAGTTGAGAGAAAGCATAGACACATTTTGGAAGTGGCAAGAGCACTATATTTTCAATCAGGAGTTGGAACCGCTTTTTGGGGAGAGTGTGTGAAAACTGCAGTGTACTTGATTAATCGCACACCTTCTAGTGTTCTTCATAACAAGACTCCATTTGAACTACTGTTTAATACAACATCATCATGGGATTTCCTTAAAACATTTGGATGCTTGTGTTTTGCTTCATCAATTCCAGCTGGGCGTGACAAATTTATGAGTAAAGCTTATTCATGTGTTTTTATAAGTTATCCATTTGGTCAAAAAGCCTATAAATTGCTCAATCTCATTACCAAAACAATCATAATTTCACGAGATGTGAAATTTTTTGAGAATATCTTCCCACTTCATAGCTTAAAAGATTCCTCTTTCAAACAAAATCCACCATCATACATGCCTTTGAATGAACAAGACATTTCTTCTTCTACATCACCAACTCCAACATCATCCGTAGATCATTCTCATTGTAATAATGATCAAGTCCTAATGAGAACTACTAGAATTCATGGACCACCATCTTATTTGCAAGATTATATTTGTAACAATGTTACTTCCACTACTGATACTGCTTTCTGTGTTCATACAATTACCAATTATTGTGTCAATCCACAAATTCCAAAAATACCATTTTGTCCTACTTCTACTAAATCCTCCTATGCTTTTCATACTTCTACTATTGATCCTGAACCAACCTTTTATCATCAAGCTAAAGTAATTCCTCAATGGGAAGATGCAATGAAACTTGAGTTAGATGCTATGCAAGCTAATGACACATGGGACATTGTTAAACTGCCAAAAGGGAAAAGACCAATTGCTTGTAGATGGGTTTATAATGTGAAGTATCGTGCTGACGGTTCTATAAAAAGGCACAATTCCTGATTAGTTGCTAAAGGCTTCCTTCACACAGAAAGAGGGTATAGACTACCATGAAACATTTTTCCCTATGGTCAAATTTACAACAACTAGAAGTCTTATTGCTTTAGTTGTAAAAAACAAGTGGCACATACATCAATTTGATGTTAATAATGCATATTTGCATGGGGAGCTACATGAAGACGTTTAAATGAAGCTTCCACCAGGTTATGAAGCTTCATATCATTCTCTTGTATGTCGATTAAAGAAGTCACTTTATGGATTGAAACAGGCCATCAAAGAATGGTATTCAAAGTTATCATCTTCTTTACAGGTTCAAGGATTTTCTCATTCACACAATGATTATTCTCTTTTTCTAAAGAAAACTACTTCATCTATTGTCATTGTTGTCATTTATGTTGATGACATATTAGTTACCGGGAATAACATTGAGGAAATTCAAAGTTTGAAAACTTTTCTTGACCAGGAATTCAAGATTAAGGACTTGGGCCTTATTTATTATTTTTTGGGGATAGAGTTTGACAAGATTGACATAGGAATGGTAGTTCATCAAACAAAATTTATCAATGAATTGTTAGCATCCTATGAAATGCCTGATTCTACAACCAAATCCACTCCTTTGCCACTCAATGTCAAGTTGCTACCTGTTATGAGTGATCCTATTCCTGATGCAACTATCTATTGACAATTGGTGGGGAAACTTAATTTTCTACTTCATACACGCCCTGACCTTGCATTCACCGTTCAATACCTTAGTCAATTCAACAAAACTCCATGTCAAGAACATTATCAAGCTGCATTACATGTTCTTCAATACTTGAAATGCACTTTTTATTAAGCTCTCTACTTTAACAACAAGTCTTCTTATCAAATAGAAGCTTATTGTGACTCTGATTGGGCACCCTGTCATGTTACTCGTAGGTTTGTAAGTGGGTATTTTATCATGTTTGGAGGATCACCTATCTCATGGAAGTCTAAAAAACAAGTCACAATTTCGTTGTCATCAGCTGAAGTAGAATACCGCTCAATATGCAGAGTCACATCAGAACTTGCATGTATTAGCAGACTTTATGAAGAATTTGAGGTCCCAAATGTCACTCCAATTCCTCTAAAATGTGATAATAGGGCTGCTATCTACATTGCTTCTAATACTGTTTATCATGAGAGGACTAAGCAC